AGGTGAGGGCCGCCAGGTGGAGGATTCTGTTGAGAGGAAGTCCCAGATATGGAAATGAGACAATTCCCACAGGATTTCGGGAGTATTCTTGGGGGGATTTGTTAATATGTTGTTAGAAGTAATATAATTTGGATCAATGGGAACAATGTAATAGATATGGCGGGGGGGAAGTGATATTATTATAGAGACCCTGAGAAAATTCAAGCTTGAAAGAAAGTTTCTATTTTAATTGCCAGCTGCAAACTTTAACGAAGATTCATTTATTCTAAGCCAATGGCATGAAAACAGTTAAAACCGTGACCATAATCTATTCATGCTGATCGAGTAGACGCATTCGAAGAAAGGCTGCGAGAGGGCGACCGACCAAGTGCATTTCACACAAAACGTGCAAATAATAACACCATCTCCGCTAATGATCAGCGCCATGATGTTGGCCCTCTCCTCTAACTAACGTCGCAAGCTCACGCACACACCAATACCAATAAGCCAAGCAGGTGGGTGTGAAAGAGAGGGGCCAAGGTAAGCTCTTTAGTGATGGGGGCTTTTTTAATATAATTATTTATTTTGTATATAAATTATTAGTAGATTTCAACGTTTTTAAAGGTATTTCTTTTATTTACAGTTTATAAAAATTAAAATAACATTATGTATGTATGTACCACCGCTAAAAGCTAAAATATAACATCTCTAACCAAGCTATAGAGAGGGGGACATAGGGGACAACAAAACAAAGAGATCCCCACAGTGGCCACTTGCAAACAGACAATAAAACGCGTTAACTGCTGTTTTGCCTGCCACAATTGTCTAGTGCTGCTCTCTCTCTTTCATACATCCCCCCACCGTCCAACTTTCGGAGCACGCTACGCAGTGAGCAAAGCGACTAACTAATTGGCTAGACCAACAACAACTTAGAGCCACGTTAGTCTTTCTCGTTTTCGCATTTGAAGATGATATCGTTGGCTTGCAACTCACGCACTCACCATTACACCTTTAGACAGACACACACACGCTGGCTCCATCATCTACCTATCTATCTCCATCTCGCTTGTTCGCACGCAACTGAAGTCAGCCCCCACAAAATAAACAAAACAACAACAACAAAAAATGAAAACATAGCAGAAAACACTTGCGCTGTTGTTGCTCGCTCACACAAATTAGCAGAGGAATTGTCAAGGAAATGCAGGCGAGACAGAGACGGGGAGCAGGCCCCATTTTGCATTTCGTGCATCTGTCTCTTATCTGTGAAACAATGAGATTTTCTTTATGACAGTTTTTGGTTTTTTATGGTTTTTAAAGCTAATAGTTGTAAATAATATGAGATTATGCTTGAGATTATGGTTAGTAAGTCCTGGTACTAGAGTCCTTTTTATATAAAATGGATTTTTACTTAGAGGGTTTTGGAACTAGTTCCAAAGAATCCTTCCTGAAGGAAAGCTTAACTATGTTTCTAACCTCAAAATTAACCTACAAAATTAGTCCTAACCAATGGGATTACTTGGACCCTCTATTCCGAAATCCAAGATCGCGCAAAAAAGCACACTTCGTCTCGTCGTGACAAACAAAACGCTCACGTTTATCGCAAACAAAAGATCTCCATTTTTACGCTAAATTTCATTTCAGTTTGGCGCTTTTTTGTCGCTGCCTGCCACCCCTCTCTCGATCCCCTACCCTTTCTTTATGCTCTGGATCGATCGTCTATATATTTATTTATATATATATATATCTTTATACATATGTATGTATAGTTTTTACCTTTTGTTTGGAAAGTTTTTCATTTTGGCTCGTTAAAATTTTGAAATTCAAAAAAAGCGTATTTTTCTTCTATTTTTTAGACAAAAGGGTGAAGGTGGCTTAAGAGGGGGTAGGGTGGTAGGTGCTCCTCAGCTTTGTTTATCTTTGCATATTCATAAAGCTTCGATCTGTTTACCTTTTTTTGCGTTGTCGTTTGACTTTTAGCTGCTTTATTATGGTGCAGCTCGGGTTTTGAGCGGTTGGCCAAAATCGTCAGGTTTTATCAGTGACACCGAGCTTATAAAACGATTGAAAAGGGGAGTGGGGGGGCTGGGGGTAGGTGGCAGGGGTTATCCAAAAGGTGCAAAACCAGACAGACAGCTGCAATTGCGAAAAACGTCAGGAAAGTGATATTTGTTTATTGTTAACGAATTGAAATTGATGCGGAAAAAAGGTGAGATCATGGGGTATATTAGCTAAGAAACCAAAAAATAATTTATAAAGACATTTAATCATCAAATATTAAACATAGACTATTAATTTGTGGAATATTTTTAAGAAACCTTTTGGTCAAGTTCATTGAACTCTTTAAAAATCAATCTTTGGACTTTTTTCACACAACAGAACTCAAAGCTAAATATTTCCTGGCCATAAATAAGTCAACCCTCAACTGGTGTCCCTAAAATCTGTCGACCTAACCCAAAAGATCTTCATCATTGTAACCCTAAATGGACCCGCTACCCACAACAAAATTTAAAAAAATAACAAAAATAAATAAAAAACCAATCACCGATCAAGCGCGAAATTTGGCACAAATAAAATAAAATAAAATAATCAAAAATAAAGATTTTTTGTTGACTTCGAAGAGAGGGTCAGGCCAGGCAGTTACCCTCCCATTTTCGACTATTTTTTATTTCATTTTAACTATTTTTTTGTATTCCCTCCCGATCTCGACGAGAAACCCAAGCCAAAGGCACACAAAAGGCCCTAAATGCGCGTCTATTTTGTTACAATTTAAGACGCTTATTAGAAATCGTTTGCAAATTGTTTAGCAAGAAAGCTGGCACGAACGATCGCTGGTTTTGGGGAGCAGAGTCAGCGATCAACGAGCTCTAGCTTGGAGGGTGGAGGTAAGAGGATGTTGGGTGTTATTTGGGACCTGGTCCATGTGGATCGGCAGGCTGGGCTGCTGCCACCAGCTTGGTAACCCGAGACTGGAGCAAATGGCTGTGAAGGCAGTGGAGCCACGAAATGCGTGCATATTAATTTTCGTATATTTACGTTGGCTCGATCCATCGTTAGAGGATTGTATCTTAAAAGTGCACGTAAAAAAATGGTTTAAGATAGTTTTAGGTAGTTTAAAATCGTAAGAAACCAAGGGGAAAATAGGGGTTTCAAAGGGTTAGGATTTTAAAGTTTATTCTTATAAGAAAAATACAAGGAATTTTTGAACCTGGTTAGAATCTGGTTGATTACCCCTACTATAGTTTCTTCTAAATGGATTTAACTCCCAGTAACTGGAGAACTTTAGTTCTAACTTTAGTTTAGAACTGGAGAATTTTAGTAAATTAAAAATAAATATCTTATTTTAATCATATTTTATGAGACTAAGTGATAAGGTATTTTCTTAGTTTAAAACTTTTGAATAGTAAGGTAAGATATAAGGTATATCTAGTAACTCCAAACAAGTAAAGCCTCCTAAAATTTTAAATTTCATTTTTTTCATTTACTGTTTAATATTTTAATAATAATTTTTTTAAATATATATTTTTTTCAAGTGCACACACGTGAAACTAGACTTGTGACTTGTTGCTGCCGTTGTTTTGGTTGCCTGGCTGTTGGTTTTTTGGCTTTAACCCGTTGGATGTCGGCTGCTAGCTGCTTTCTGCTGCCTGATGATCTAATTTGGCAACAATTGTCGTGGTCGTCGATCGCTGATGCCGATGATCGCAAATCGAGTTGGATAGGCTATATGGATGGCCCCCCAACCCAAGCACACATGTGTGAGCTCGGAGCAGAGGCCCTCCGCCTGGCGATCGATTGATCTCGATAATGAGTTTCGTTTCGTTTGGCTTCAGAGGACGCACCCATAATTTCGTATGCTCTGTCACACGAAAGTTACCTTTATGATTTCCCCACAAACCCCCATCCCATCCGATCCCGATCCCGAGCTTTTCCGCTTGGCTGGATGCATCGATCACACTTGGTGATCTTTCTCCTCCAGTCGTCTGTCGTCTAGCTGGAGACTCTATTTTCGGAGCTCCCTCATTAAGATCGGTGGGGGCCCCCTTAGACTATTATTTTATTTTTTTTTTCGGAAGGGGCTCGCTCGGGTTTGGCTTTTGATTTAGTGACTGCCATTTTGTAGCTACAAACATACATACAAACGGGGACGGGTACGTGTGCAGAAATTTAAATATAATTTATGATCAGCAAGGCATATAAAAGCGCCTTATGTTTGCCTTTGCCGGTTAGGCCATAAAATGTCGCGATTGCCTGATTGGTGGCGTTTCTTTTTCGTTTCCCGATCGATTCGCTTCGATTTGTAGACTTATTTCGAAAGAAGATCATGACCCAAAAATATAATTTGTATGTGATACCCACTTCACTTCATTCACGATTCTTAAAAATATCATTGAACTTGCTGGAGGAAATGGAATCCAATTGGACTAGGATCCTGTGCAAACAAGATTTTTTTAAGTCCTTATAAAAAGGAACTAGTTCTTCTAGAAAAATATAGAAATGCGTTTGCTGAAAACACAAATTAGACTTTATAATTAAATAATATAATTAGATGATAATCTAAAACGAAAACTATTACCTTTTCCAAAAAAAAAAAATTTTTAATTTGAACATATAATACTTGATATAATTATTTTAATAAATTTTTGTAATAAATTACTGAAATTTACAAAAAATTTTCGTACCAAAATATGTGAGGTTCGAATTATTTTCAGTTTCTAGAAACTAATTCTTCCAGAAACATAGAAATTTTTCATTTTTTATGAACCGAAAAATCTGAAAAAGAGAAGCATCCTCTTCATATATCTTCATCCTCTACATATAATTTCAATTATTTGTTACCTGATGAAAAAAAGCTATGCCTTTCAGTATCAAAATTTGTGTAGTTCGCAAATTCAAAAGGAACTAGTATTTCCTGAAAACTATAGAAATTTCTGAAAGATTTTAAGACCCTTTATGATAAAACTGAGAATCTGAAAAAGAAAATCAACCCTTTTCCGCCCCAAAATATTAAATAATTTCAATTATTTGTAGTTTGTAAATAAATGTATTTTCTTCATTCTCCGCTTGATGTAATAAATTACTTAAAATTACAAAACATTTCCGTATCAAAATATGTGTGGTTCGCTCTTATTCTGGCGTTATTTTAAAGTAGAACATTTTCAATGTATGCGCAAAAAGTAGGTGGTCGGTCATATCAAAAATATTTTACGATCTACGAGCTAGGCTAAAAATACTACAGTATACAGTATACAAAATAGAGATGTGGGCTTCTTATCACTAAATATACAGTTTCCTTAAGATTGTCTGGAGTTTCGTACTCATTCTCAGCTTAAAGTCTACAGTTAGACATAATACATTATGTACAGGATAATTCAAAGAATACTTTACAAAGTTCTGTTTTTAGGATTGGGGACACACTCTTTAATAAAGGGAAGGGATTTTCAAAATTGTGGGTCTGCAAATTATAAGGTAATTTTTTAATTTTCTCGTTTCTTCGGAGAAAATGCTGACTAGAAAATAAAAAAATTAAAATTCATGAAATTGTGTGTCTGCACTGGGATTATTCTTTTGTTCGTTTTTTTGTTTTTTTGGGAACTTGAGCTGCCTAAGAGAGCTAGGAACTAATTTTTGGTGGAACATGGCTGGGATCTGATCGAAGATCCCGTTTCTTTAAGGCTCAGCATAACCGGAGTAGGAGAGCTCACTGGCGGATCCTCCGCTGCTGGAACTGCCGCCAGGACAGCCGCCCTCGGAGTGCTTGGTGAGGAGCGACATCCGGGAGAAGGTCTTGGAGCAACTGCTGCAGGAGTACTTCTTGATGTCCGAGTGGGTCTGCAGATGGGCGCGCAGATTGGAGCGATCGGCGAAGGCGCGATGGCAGTGCTGGCAGCTGAAGGGCTTCTCGCCGGTGTGGGTGCGGATGTGTCCTTGGAGGAGCCATGGCCGGGAGAACGCCTTGCCGCACAGATTGCACTTGCAGGGCAGAGTGTGGGTGCGAATGTGCATCTTGAGGGCGCCCAGCGACACGTACGTCTTGTCGCAGTCCTTGCAGCTGAAGGACTTCTTCACCTGGTTGCCCTCGGCGGCGGGGCAATGGAACTGCTGGTGTTTGGTCAGCCCGGAGAAGGTGGAGTAGCTTTTTTGGCAGTCCGGGCACTGGTAGCGAGGCGGCTGGCTTTTGTCCTTTTTCGCGGATCCCGAGGAGGATGCGCCGGATGGAGCTGGCGACATATCACCGCTGGCCTCGATCTTCGGAGCCACCAGATCCAGTTGATTGTTCTTTAGGGGCTTGTGCTTCAGCGACAGATCCTCCGGCAGCGAGGAGCTGCAGCTCGACTCGGGGGTCATCGAGCGCATGGAGTAGTAGGAGTTCTCGGAGTAAGCCGGCGAAATCGGAGCATGGTGGTGGTGGTGATGTGTGGGATAGCCCAGAGCCGGGTAGTTGGGCATGGCGGGATAGGGCAGGAAGCGGTGCTGCTGTCGAACGCCAATGGGTCGGTGGATTATCTCCGATCGCATGGGCGGCGACACGGAGCTGGCCCGGCCGTGGAGATAGTGATGCGGTGGCGGCGACAGGGAGCCCAAGGAGTCGCTCGGCGAACTGGGCGCCATAAGGTCACCGCGCAGTGGCGAGATCTGGTGGCCAGTGGCCCCGGGCTGATTGATCGTCCGGTAGAACTCAGCGGTGTACGGCGACATGTGGAAGTTCCACGGGTACTTGGGATAGGTGGGCGTGGGCACCACCACCGAAGCAGCAGCAGCGGCAACGGCAGCCGCTCCGGCAGCCACCGCAGCAGCAGCGGCCAGGGCAGCCGCCTGTGTTTGATTCGGATCGGAATCGATGTCGCCATCAACCGTTACTTCATCCTCGTCGTCCTCGTCCTTCATGTGCTCGTCGTCCGTGTGATCGACATCGACGCCCTCGTCCTCGCAACAGTCGCTGACATTAATCAGCTCCTCCGATGGACTCTCGTCCATGATTTCCATTTTCTTGACGCACAGATCCTGCGGTTCGTTGGTGTTGGAACTGTGGTTGGGCAGAGCCTCGAATTGGTAGTTCACTGGTCGCTTTTTCAGCGGGCACTTGCTGTAGTTTTTCTCCACCAACATCTCTTCGATGGAATGCATTTTGTATAAGTTTGTGATTTGTTGTTTCAGTTTAATTTTGATATTCAGTTTTTGTTTTCTCAGAAAAGTTCTCGACTTTCCGATTCAGTGTGTCCACATGTTCACACCAACACTAAAAAAGCACGCACGCACGTTGGTGTTCTCGTAACAGAACTCTTCAAAGTTTAGGAAGCAAAACGCGAGGGTTTCTTTGTATCGTTAGCCTGCTGGAGGAGGTTGTTGTTCCGTTAACCAAAAAAGAGCGAATGAGCGGTGCGAGCAATGGTGCTGGCCTTTTATATCTGCGCCGGCCCCGGGGTGGCAATCGCATCACGCAGAGAGTTCACTCTCTCTCGCAGGTACGCTGCGCTCACATACATATGTAGGTAGAGCGGGTGCGTTAAGCTCAACCAATCATAGCGTTCGGCGGGAAAACAGGTTTCGGCTTGTTTATGTACGAAGAACTCACGTGCCGACTTCGTACACTTGCACCAATCGAAGCCGCAAACGAACCGATGCCGTTATAATTGCACTGGTATGGTATATATCGCCCCCAACGCTGCAAAGGTGTTTGTGGATCCCTCTCTTTGCACCTGGGCTCTCTATCTCTCGGTAAGCTGAGTGCGCAATAAAGAGAAGCCCGAAGAGGAGACTCTGATCTTTTCTTAATTTCTTTGCAAATTGCCATTAAATGACAATTTCTAAATAGGTCCAAATTTTTTTTGGGTTAAGCTAAGAATGGTTTTGAGTATCAGGTGCATCTGCATCATTAACTGATCATTTCAAAACAATAATGAGACAGGTAGTTTCTTTGAATGTCGAAGGACTTGGGTCGTAAACAGGTAGTGGGCTAAATTAATGAACGGCTATTTTTTACCCCTAGAAGTGACATTTGCCTAAAATTTAGAATTAAACTCAAATTTTGTTCAAAATATGTACATATGTATGTATGCATTTCCTAAAAATATGTTTGTTAGAGAAGTTCATTCAAGCAGAGTGAGTGACCAGCTCCAAAAACTTAAGCTTAAGTATTTTAGTAGAAATATACTGGTATACAGGAATAACGCATACATACGTATTAAAAAGTCCCTGGTTTATGTTTTTTGTGTTTAAAATGCTTGCACAAAATAAGCTTCAACGCCAGAAGTGTCTTGTTTTTTTTTTTTTAATTTTATATGAAGAGTTGTTGGTTTTTGTAGAATAGGAAATTTTTCGTTGTATGCTTATTAAATAAAGAGCTTGAATTACTGCGTTTACATATTTTTTGTATCTGTCCTAGTTCTTGCATGAAATAAGCTTCGAGGCACTATAATAGCAGCTATTAGGCATTCCAAAGTTTAAGCTCTTAAGTAAAATGTGTCCACTTTGGCATAATTTTTTTTCATTAAATTGTATTATAACAAAATCATAACGATTTTTCATGGCCGTGGCAGATATTTTTTCTTGGAATTTTAAGAAGCCAAGATGTTCTAGCAGCTCTTGAAATTAAACAACTTAACGCGTTTCGGCCTAATTCTAGGGATTTTAATAGTTTCCAATACTCTTAAATTGTCAACTTTCATTCTGTTGTATAATTTGTGTTTTTTTGTCCCGACTAAGACTAAGTTACTAAGACCAATTTATTAAACGCTTGTGATCGACTTTGAGACAGGATCAAGATTTCTTTGCACAAAGATTAAATTACTTTAACTAGTAAACCACTTCCACTAAAATAAAGAAAACCATAAGTAAAGGGTGTTCGTAAAAATGACACAAACTAGATTTTTTATTAATATTTTTAAATATATGTATTTACTTTTATTTACTTAAGATTGTTCATATTTACATATTCATACATTCGAAGCTTGTATATTTCATCATATTTTATATACACTCTTTAAAAGAGACTAAATAACATGGGAGCCAACTCTTTACCCCCGAAGAGCTCCAACAATACCAGCTCTTTCTTCACTACTCTTTATTTAACGTTCCACTTCCATTTTGTTTCATTGGAGCTCTTTAGTCTACTCTCTGTGGAGTCCAAGATCTTGGAGGCGCCAAAAAATTGATTTGTCTCTTTCTTCTGAAACGTAAATATTTTTAGGAATTGGAAAAAAACATGCGCAGCAATATTCCAAGCAATTAGAACAACGTGTTGAGGACCTCAAGTGGCAAATGCCACACACACAACCGAGGGTGTCCACCCGCAAGGCAACCGAGTGGCAGATGTGGCATAAACACAAAAACAAACACCCAGCGAAAGTGTTCTCTTGTCAGATAAGATAAGAGGTGTTGCCGTTCTCCGATTGCAGGACATAAATCAAAGAGCGACCTGTGCCAATTTATGTCCACTTACCAGGAATCTAGTGTACACTGAGGGAAATACATATTTCTAACGATTTAAGAGGTAGTCCTACAAAAAATATGACCTTATTTGAAATTTTCATAAAATTATAAATTAAAGAAATTCAATATTTCTCAAATTTACACTTATTTTCTTTTAGTGTAGAACCCCCACATAGTTTTTGGCATTTAACTTAATTAGCGTCCTTATCAACTGATTGTCCCTGTGGCAGGGCCACTGCTGTGCTTTGGGATTCCAGATCCAGATGCAGATCCCTGCTCGTCCAGTTCACCCATACCCATACCCACACCCAGGCGGAATTCTCAGGAAGCAGACTATCCGGGCACAAGTGCGATCCCACTGAGATTGGCCAACAAGGAACCGAAAACCGCCAGCATAAATTAATAGATAAACATGTGCAATTCTGGAGGCAGGTTTTTGGGTTTGGTCAGTGTTGGCTATTTGGCGGGTTTCAGATTCAGAGATTGGTTTATCCTAAAGGAACCTTTATTTTTTAGCCATTTGTAGCCAAGATGCCAATGTCTGTGGCTATGGCCCTTCTAACCCGCTTTGCCTAATCTCGCCCCATCGTAGTTTCTAGTCTGGTTCTTCAGCCTGCAGCTGGAATCTGGGCTCCAATTTCTTTCTGGGTCTGCATTTCTTATCTTATCGCCTGTCGTTGCTTTGGCTGCAGTTATGTGGCCCAAACTGCCCATGACGTCTCCTCTAATGCCTCCCAGAAGACTAGCGACTCTGTTGACTCGTTGTCTCTGCCCGATTGGTTGTTAACAAAGATTTAATGATCTTGTTAACTTAATTTTTTTTTTCCTGGCTCTTGGTTCTAGGTGCTCTGGGAAGGACGGACCACCCACTGGACGTTGTTGCAATCCATTCGACCGCTGTGCAAGTTAATTAGTTTGCGTTTGAAACTGGCTTTAAATCACACTCGAACTGGTTTTATTCCAACTGGCAGTCTAGGCTTGGTAAGTGAGAGTGGTTTAATGGGATGTTTCAATTGAATAATTCTGTTTCTTTTTGCAGGAAATAAATCGTAATATTCAATCATAAAACTTGTAAAATGGGTCACCCAAATAAGCCAACCACAGAATCCATTTTTCCGAGTCAAGACTTAAACAAGTCGTATCCCTTTGCCTGCCATAACATTATGAAAGCGTGTTAAAAGTTGATATTTAAGCGATTTTTGGTTGTTGCAACATCCCCCAACTAAAAATAATAATAAACTACAACAAAAAACCGAAACTGAAATGAGGCAAAAAGAGGCCAAGCCGCAACAGGCTAATCCTATTTTGAAGGCAATGAAAATGAAACAAAAATAATAAAACTTTTTTACGACAAGCTCTAAAAAGTAAAAATCCAGCGGGACTACAGACCAGAAAAGGGTTTCAGGGTTCTCCAGACTGGTTTAGACTTTTGGTTTTTGGTTTTTCGGTTTTGGTCTGGAGCGAGCAACAAATTATTAACGACATTTTAAATGCAACGCCTCTCCGCCAGAGAAGAAAAACAAAATATAAAAAATTAAATACAGAAAAAAGGGTCACAACCACAAGAGTCGACCGATGACTGGGCCACGATTTCTGGATGGACATGGACATGGACACGGAGTCGACTCCTTGCGGGCTCAAAACACGAAGACGCGACGCCTTTTAATGAGATTTGTCTGAAGACATGAAAAACTTTTGTAATTCCCTCTTTTTGTAAAGGACACGCAGCAAAAAGCGACAATAGTCTACACTGGAAGATATATTTTTAAAGATTAACAGAGTTCTGTTAGATCAAATCAAATCTAAGAGGAAATAAATGTAATATTTAAACAAAATCTTGACTAAAACTAAATATTAATCTTTCTTATATTGTTTCTTGATTTTTTTTTTGCAGTGCCTACACCCCGAGAAGAATCACTTGCACCAACGTGTGGCATCAACAAGTGTGTGCTGCAAGTTTTGCTTTATATTTTATGCTCTGGCTGTTAAAATTGAAAATTACTTTTGGTCCAGTCCCAGGGCCTCAGTCTGGAGATCTCGAAAACTTTCGAAGGCCCTACCGCATTTGAAAGCTGAGACAATAATTGCACAGGCAAAATTACAATCGAGCGTTTTTATTATTGCCAACAAACAAAAAAAAAACGAAGATCTTTAAGTTCGAAATCCGAAATCCCAGACTCGATGAAAGTGCGTGTTTTTTTGTGGTTGAAAGCCCTTGGGGGGTTATGGCTTAAGATCGTTCCCAATGAAAGTTTTCACTCCAGAGCCGCAGGACCTCAATGTTTGATTAACGAAACGCAGACCGAATCTTGTAAGGAGACCACAAAATCGTTGTAAATAAATTTTACAACCTTAAATGCCACCCGGGCAACGTAAAAACGAGAAGCAATTGAATTGTCTGAATTATGTATGTTGAATTATGGAATTATAGGTGGTCGATGGCGAACGATGAAAAAAATATACAACGTTTACATGCATGTAACTGAGCCAAGTACTTAATTACCGCCTGAATGGAAGGAAGAGAAATTCCAGTCTGGCTGAAAGCCAAAAAAATTCTTGTTAAAATATCTTAAGTAATAAAAAACGTAAGTAATATATTATAATCTTAACTGCCTTCCTAATTAGGTTGGAGTATCTTAAATTAAAAAGAAGGTTCGAGGATATAACTATTAAACTTATATCACTTTCCACTAGTTTAATATTTATATTTGATCTTTATTCGTTAATAAAAGGTTAAATCTAACAATTTCCTATTAAAGTTATATCATAGTTCCTCTAGGAAATTATTTATATTATTTTTTCTTACCACAAGTCAAACCTCTTTCCACTTCAAGACCAACAAGTAGCCGCACATTATAACAACATTAACATGAAGCACATCGGTTAAGTATAATGCATGCCACGAGCATAATGATGCACTCCCCAAAAAA